ACACACACACACACACACACACACACACACACACACACACACACACAGCTACATTTTCCAATTCTGCAGGGGCAGCTGTCTTTGAGTGCTAGTGACGCACCTGTTGGCTCATGCATTGTTACCCTGAATCTTTTGATCCTTCCTCATTGGCTCGTGGGCATTCCTCCACCAAAAGATATTCCACATGAGTTGATTGGAGCAAAACAATGTCCTCGCCCTTCACTCAAAGACTACCTGCACCATCTACGCTCACACCCCCCTCACACACAAACAATGTGTAGTATTATCTGCTTTTCCCTTGTACAATGGGAATCAAATCTCCACTGCTACTCCTCCACTTGTTTATACATCAATCCTGTGAAAATTTCATAACAATTTCATGACACATTAATCTTGGCACCAACCAAGAATAAGATATAATCCATTAACTGGGCCATAAAGTTCAAAGAATAGACTCTTTTTTTGCCGACTGTAACTGTTATATTTGTTAATATCTTTCACTAGCAGGCGTCCCACAGTTAGAGGATAATTGTGAGATCATTATGAGTTATAGTGAAGATGAGGCCACTTATTTTAGTCCATATGAGAGCAGCCCTGGGCCTCTGATGGCCGCTGAGAATGCAGAGCAGCTGTCAGCGGAGCAAGGAAAGGAAGAATAACATGCTGTGACTTATTTGTTTTAACAGTGAAATACTTTATTGCAGGCCCCCTCGTCCATGTTACACAGACATGTCAGTGGACTGTCAGTTTTGGGATGCTGCTCACAGATGTCTGCATTTATAAAACTCACTGTCGCTATCACACGTGCTAGTCTCAAGTGTCTTTTCTGAAGTTGTACAGTGCAATGCACTGTCATTGTTTGAGCAGAGGCTGAAGCTTAGCATCAAAGTCCACAAAAACAACTACAACACCACGGAATTTACATATACATTAAAGATAATTGTTTTTGGATTTAACTGCGGCTGCTTAAAATAAGTTGCCCTGAGTGCTAGTTCAACAGGATAAACAAGTTCAAGGATAATTGTAGTTGTTGTCATATTTAATTCTGTTCAAAGTTTTGTCATTAAGTTCTCTATAAAGCTTGATGTAACTCTCGTATGCTCGAAGCACTGCTATCCAATAAAACATAATTTTGTGGCAAACTTGCCTGAAGATTGTTTTAAATAACTTTATTTGAACGCCTTGTACTGTATATAGAATATTGCATAAACCTAACGTTTTATTTAATCACTTAAAGTTATATTCATAATATAACTTCTTTTGTATTGTATTTATATACATACACAGACACTAACTGGACTGCTTCCAAGCTGAAGCAACAAAATCTCTTATAGTATAGAGATTGAATTTCAGGAGAAGAACACCCACAGCGCAGCTAGGAGCCCACACCACCACAGCGCAGCATTGTTTCTGTGCAGTTCAGCTTAATTGGCACCGGGGGGATCCGTGGAAGGAGGGGGATAGAGGAGCAGAAGGAAACACAGAACATTACAATCAAAGCATGTGCGTGGAGCTGATGATAAACCCGTTATCTGCCCTGTCTCCTCGGGGCCTGGGTTCCTCTCTCTGTATAAAGCCTGCTCCATCCTGTTGATGCTGCCAGTAAACACCTTAGCCCTCCCCTGGTTCTGTTCACCCCATGTGGCTGGGAGCCCTTTACGGCAGCCAACATCCCAGTATAGGACTCCTGGGGCCTGCGGGGGATCGAGCCACGTCTAATTGTCATAATGATCACTTTATCCACAACCAGTTTGGATTAAATGACGATAAGATAGCACAGCAGAGCAGTGAGAGCATACCGCAGGGGGCAGTTGCACATTCAATTGCTGCGCTCCGTTTGACTCCTTGTAAGCAAAGGGTCTTGTCAGTGGAGGAGCAGGAGGCATGCGTGATGGATAAACTTCCTGCTTGGGAGTGTGCCCCACAAAAATCCCAGCTAACCCATCTTGTGCCATCTCAACAATTTCCGAACAATTCTCAAATTCCAAATCTGAGATGAAGTAAGGATTACGGATAAAAAACAAATATCAGGACATTACCCTGAAGATTACAGTGTCTTTGTAATTGAGATCCATAGACATTTGTTATAGCTGCAGTGTTACAAACAATTTATGTCTAAGTCTTGCAATATTTCCAATGTCACAAAGAAGATATTTTAAGAACAAACACCATAACACACAGTTGGTTGAAACTCTATGACACAACGTAACAATTTCCAAAATCTACATCAGGCTAGAAAAAGAACGAATCTGCACACTAGATAATGCTCCATTGAATATGAATGAATATATATATATATATATATATATATATATTCATTCAT